ATAACCTTCTTCTCTTCCATGTGCTTAGGGATGACTTTCAGAATGAGGTGCTCTATCATTTTTCCAGGGATGGAGGTGAGACTGACTGGTCTGTAATTTCCTGGATCTTCCTTCTTGCCCTTCTTGAAGACTGGATGACATTGGCTTCCCTCCAGCCCTCAGGCACCTCTCCTGTTTGCCATGATCTTTTGAAAGTGATGGAGAGTGGCAGGGCAATAATGTCAGCCAGCTCTCTCAACACTCCTGGGTGCAGCTCATCAGGGCCCATGGACTTGTGCACATTCAATTTGCATAACTGATCTCTCTTCATTGCCTAGTGGAGAGTCTTCCCTCCTCCAGGCTCCCTCTCATACCCAGGGTCTGAAGTTCATAAGGGCTGGTCTTAGTAAAGACTGAAGCAAAGGAGGAATCCAGCAACTCTGCCTTCTCTGCATCCTCTGTTACCAGGGCTCCCACCTCACTCAGCAGTGGGCTCAACATTTTCCCTGTTCTTCCTTTTACTACTGATGTATTTGAAGAAGCTCTTTCTGTTCTCTTTTACTTTTTCTGCCAGTTAAATTCTAAGAGGGCTCTGGCCTTTCTTGTTGCCTTCTTACATACCCTGACAATGTCCCTGTAGTTCTCCCATGTGACAAGTCCCTTCTTCCACAAGCTGTAAATTTCTTTCTTCCACAAGACTTTCTTCAGAAGATCCTTGCTCATCCATTCAGGTCGTTTACCTGATTTTTCACTCAAAGGAATGCACCCACCTTGGGCTTGGAGGATGTGGTATTTAAAAACTGACCAGCTTCCCTGGGCTCCCTCTCCCTCCATAGTCTTAGCCCATGGGATTCCTGCAAGTAGATCTTTGAAGAGTCCAGACACCCCTCCAGAAGTCCAGGGTTCTAATACTACTTATTGTCCTGCTTCTTCCTTGTAAAAGACTAAACTCCACTATGTCATGGTCACTGTTGCCAAAGCTTTTCCCAACCTTAATGTCCCCAACCAGACCTGTATTCGTTACTACCAGGTCCAGCATTGTGTGAGGTCCAACTCACTTGGGTGTTGTCACGAGTGTTTGCAGTCACACAGGACTGTTAATTACACAGGACATAATTCTTTATGAATAAGTGTACTGGTTTGGTTCTGGCATGGTTTTTGTAGTGGGGAGGGGTCCCAACGGTGGCTCCTGTAAGAAGCTACTAAAAATTCCCCTGGCTCAGGTGGCCAAGGCCGAGCAGAGACAATAGATGGACGGCTGCAATTAACATAAGAAAGAACTGATACAGGACCTGTGAGAGAGCAAAGTAGAAGAGCTGAGCTGGAGAGGTGAGAGCAGTGCTGGAGTGGAGAACCTGAGGTTGGTGAGGAAGAAGGGGCAGAAGGTGCCCAAGCAGCAGTTTCCCTGCAGCCCATGGCGAGATGGCAGCTGTGCCCCTGCACTCATGGAGGAACGTGGTGGGACATTCCCTGAAGGTGTCAGGAGGGCTGAACTTGGCCACTGGACTTGGATGTTGTGGCCAGAGGATTTGCTGCCAGTGGGCTCTGATTGCTCAGCTGTGGAAGCCCCCGGGCCAGGGGAGGTGGCTGTTCCCGAAGCCCCCGTGACTCTGTGGGAAGCCCAGGCTGGAGCAGCTCCGGACCTGGTGGGAAGGGCTCAGGAAGGAGAGGTTGGTGGAGGCCTCTGTGCCATGGGAGGGACCCCGTGGGGAAGCAGGGCAGGACTGTCAGGAATCCTTCTTGCTGAGGAGGCAGGAGCAGCAGGAACCCCCAGCCTGTGAAGTGACTCTAAACCCCATCCCCTGTCCCCCTGTGCCGCTGGGGGGAAGGAGGGAGAGAAACCGGGAACCAAGGGATTGGGGCCCGGGAAGAAGGGAGGGGTGGGGTAACATCTGCAAGCCCTGCTCTGGGTGTGTCTGTGTCCTGGGGGGGTGTGATTAGTGATAGATTCGGTTACTATTTTTTCCTCTAGTTGAGTCTGTTTTGCCCAGGACTATAAATGTGAAGAACCCTCCTTGTCCTTTGTGTCAACCCATGACCTTCTGGTTCTCCTTTGTCCCCCCCATCCCACAGTGTGTGGGCGGGGTGGGGGAGGTGAGTGAGCAGTCCCATGGCTGGTTCTGTGCTGTCAGTCAGGCCCAAAGCATGACAACAACACATGCTTTTTTTACATTAAAGAAGAACAGTAACCAAATCAGAGCTGTTGAAAATACACCTCTGTGAATATTTTCTGTGTAGATTCTGCTTGAGCACTGCTCTCCTTTGCTCCTGGCTGTGGCCACACATGGTGAATGCTCATCCTTCTAAAAGTACTGATGTTATTTAAATATATATCATATGTACACATATGACTTTTACAAGATTCTTAGTGAACTCTGTGAAACAATACAGGTTGAGATCTACATCTCCAGGGGTCTTGCAGTTGTTGAGAATTTCTCAACTAAGTGGCCATTCTAGAACACAGTGGATCTAAAATGTTCAGAATTATGAAATTATCTACACTGATGTACTGCAGATGCAGTTTAGACCACAAGAAGAGGCCCAAGGCAAAACAGACTTGAAGTTTCCAGCCTGCACTCTCTGAGGTTGCACTGAGTGCATTTAGCACTCAAGCTACTATTGGTGTTGTGTCTGTTTACAGCACTCCAGTATTTCTCCTAGGAGGTGTTTTCTCCTTTCTTTTCATAAAAACTCAAAAATAGCACACTTTTGAAAATTAAACCTTGGAAATACGGGGTGTAGCTCTCTGTGATGATTAACCCATGTAGTAATCATAAACAGGTTTTGTTACAAAATCAGGAAACTGAGACCCTGATGGTCATGCTGATCTGCTTAAGGTGTCCGAAGCATTTAAGCTCATCAGGAATGATGATCAGGAATGAACATAAGGGTACAGGAGCTGTGGGAGGTCTGTTGCTGCTTCTGAGTGGCTCATGGCACCGAGTGCCATCGTGGATGGAAGAGGAGAGAAGAAATGACAGGAAAAATATAAATGATACCAGGAGGAAAATGAGCCTTCGCAAGAGGGAAACTTTGTGGTGGTTTTTGTTTGTTTTGGTGGGGTTTTTTTACTGCTAGTGCTTCTCACAGCCTTGAAGACCTAAGCTGTCCAGAACGGGTATGGTCAGGCACTATAGGTAGGTGTGACCCATATTTTGTAGACAATGGTTATGCCATCTTTTCCAGTTCCTTTTCTAAGTCCTTTTTTTTCTAAACCTAACTCCCTTCAATGTCCTTGGCAACCCTATTTTTTCAGACTTCTACCATATATGAGACCTGCTGTTTCAGCACCTCTGGCCTGCCATTAAGGACCTTTGTGCAGAGGGGACAGAAAACAGATGGCAACCACATCTCCTCTTCCCTTTCAAGTGTGAAGTGGTGAAGAAATGAAGTGGGCAAGGCACTGTGGATTGTTCCAGTAAGATGATGCAGAGGTGACTTGAGTGCAGGACATCCAGACTCTCCCTTTGCTAGATGGCACCAGCTGTGAATATTTTAGTTGTAGTGTTCATGTCATAATTCCTTAAAAAGCGGTCGGTCTAGGAGCTTAAAGTAAGCCCCACACATAACAGACACCTCTTGATTAGGTTGTTTCTTCGATTCAGAACTTTGATGTGTCAGTTGTCTTGAGAACTGCCTTAAATTCAAGCTCTTCTCAGGAATGCTTGTCCTGTGTGCTTCTGCTTTTCCCACAGACTTCTCCCTCTGGAAGCTGTTCAGAACAGATGTCTAACCATGGAACACTGTTCCCTGTGACATGAGAAGAAATGGAGAGAGAAAAACTACAAATGCTGTAGCAAATACTTATATTCCTTTAGAAGCTTTTGCAATATTAGTTATTGCTCTACTAATAACGCCCATGTGAATTTTCTAAACAATTCCACTAGTTATGCATCTCTTGACTGGAATGCTGCTAAGTTAAAGTTGCTAATAACAGCAAAGTGTCTGCAATCAGATACAAATTAAAGAAGACAAATTCAAAAAGAAGTCTTTGGCAGAGGTTTGCAGAGCACTGAGGAGACCACCATTGTCTTAGATGACTCTCTTGCCTTCTGACTACTGCCTAAAACACCACATATCTGGCTGTGTTACTAAGGAAGGCCTGAGGGACTGTCACACCCTTGGAGGAGTGGATATGCTGAATTTGAGCCCACAGTAATTATCTGTTGTTTTTTCTAGTGCCAAGGCCAGGTATTGAAAGCAACAGTTAACACTGGGTGCCTACCAAATCTCATCTCCAAGAGCTGTTTAAACCGGCTGGGGTAAGTCTTTGCACAACAGAAAAAGAGGAGTGGCTAAAAGAAAAACTATGGCAAGAACCTAGGCAATCTTCCAGCCCCCATGATATTTAACAGCAGCTTTGCATGTGCACAGGGTGCTTTAGGAGGAGATGCAGAGGGTGGGCTACAAGGGAGCAGGAGCAGTGGCAAAGTGTGTGCAGAGCCCCAACTAGGAGGCGGAGCTGTGTCACTCTGTGTACACTGCAGGGCAAAGGTGCCCAGCTGAGGGTTCCCTCAGTGGTGAGGCATCCTCATGGAGTGTCTCATGATTTTGCTGGTGCAATCTGCCTCCAGACATGCTGTGTGAAAGAGATTACTCCTCTTGTGGGCCTGTTCCCAAGGAGGCCGAGAGCTATCAGTGAGAAGTCCTGATTTTCCTCCTCTTCCTCCACTTGGGGCAGTAACACCTCTTGTGTCCCACAGGCTGGAAGAAGTGTCTGCCGTGGACTGTGGAGACCTCTCTCTGCCCATTCCCAGCGTTGTTGGCCGAGTAGAACATATGGAGTTGCAATTTGGCCAGGAGACAGTGCTGTGTTCAGCACTGGTTGTAGGTGAGAGTGCCAGCCCTTCATCTCCCCTGGTTTTCCTGTGTCCCTCTTGCCCCTCCAAGGGTGTTTAAAGGGATCTTTGGGAAAAGGGCCATGTGGCAGGAGGTTGGTCATGTGGTCACTTCCACTGCTGGCCATTGTGCACTGTGAATACCCTCAATGTACCCAAAGGCAACGGGCATAGGGAGAGTACAGAGAAGACAGAAGACATTGACAGTGGGGAGAGTTGACGGGTTTTTTTGGTCTTAACATAGGATGTGGAAAATTTGCTTTTCCTTCTATCATGGACCTTTCTTGAAATTATCCAGACTGCTTGATCAGTTCTCTGGTGCCCTATGTTCTCCTATTGAATGGGCACTTATGTCTTTGACTGGCTGGAAGTCATCAGAGAAACTGCTTATTCCCCAGAGTGTTTCTCTGTGTACTCACCTGCCTGTGCTGCAGGGAGCATGCTGGAAGAGCCCGATCTCCCCCAGGTGCTGAGTCCTCCTCAGTGTCCTCAGGCAGGACCCTCTGAAGGAAGGAGCCATAGGTGACAAGGTCAAGTCAGCAGGTACTGGAGCATGCCCAGAAAACAGCAGAAAACAGCAGAAAGGCTGCATTCACATCAAGCTGTGCATATGCTGAAGACAACTTAGGTGTTTTTTTTCCATATTCTTTCTCCCAATTAGTCTTCCAACTTTACCCTCTTGCCTTTGTTTCCTCATCTTTGATGAGTGCTATTCATCTTCCAAGGCCTCCCTTGCTCCCTCTTTTCATGTCCATTCTTCCCACATTCCTAGTCATCTAGAAAGAGCTTCTACCTCTTCCACCCTCCAGCTCACTCTTCTTCCCTGGTTTCCCCTCTGACTGTTCTTGCTCTTCATGGAGAACCTGTACTAGTACCAGCACAGGTGAATTTAGCCCAGTAGACCTATCCATTCTGCTTTGATGTGGAAATGGCTGCCAGGAAGGAGCAAAATTGCTACATTTCTGCCTTACATCTCCCCACACACACAGTGCTCTTGCTTATGTGGTTATAAGATTAGAAATTATAAAATGCAGCCCCTGGTTACTTGGCAAGCAGGTATCCAGGAGACATGGGAAGTGTTGTTGATACTAGTGGTGGCTGCTGAATCCTGCAATCTCCAGAGCCTGGGGACTCCTCCTTCCCAGCCACTGAAATCCAGATGGATGACTCTAAGGCCCAGAAGGTCACTCTCACCCAGTCCAGTGCATGTTTTGAGTGGAGGGTTTGGACAGTAGCAAGGCTGAACGTACATTCTGGAGAGGCATATACAGAGAGGACACAGGCAAGGCCAGCCACACTGGTTACCACACACAGAGAAGTGTCTTTACCAGCACTCACATCAACACCAGCATAGATAGACCAGTTCTGGTCCTTCTCTCTGGCTGGCCAGGATTGAAGTTCACTAGCAAAAGCTCGTAAGTCCTCAGTTTACAAGCACACTGATACATGCACACAGTTCTCAAATAACAGCACAGCTTCTAGGTCTATCTTACACCCATGTCTGGACCCTGGGCCCTTCACCTAGCCAGTGCCCCAGACCTTGAGTCTTTCCAGATGCAGGTTTCCTCCTGTTCACTAGCTGGACCAGACTGAAGTTTGCTAGATAACTATGTGTTCAGAACCACAAGCATATAGGATTAAATTAACTGGGGAAATGGAAGCACACCCAGGTCTTTCTAGTTGGTGGCATTTTGACCTCTAATGCATATGCCCTGTTCTCATCAGTTGCTGCTTTATTAAAGCCTCTGTGACCCTGGTTAGAGATGGTACCGAGAGCTCTCTTGCACACTGATCCCTCCAGTTGCTGGAACCTAGAATTATAAGCTCTGTGATGCATAATTCTTCTCTAGTTATGGAACTTGGACCTTGCAGTACACACTGCAGTCCCTCCAGTTGCTGGCAACCAGGTGTAAAAGCCCTGTGGCCTTAGCTCCCTTTCACGTTACTGGTACCCAGACATCTCTTGCACACTGATCTCTCCAGCTGCTGCCACCTGTAAGCCAGTTGCTGACACAGGCCTATAAGCCCCATGGCCTGCAGTCCCTTCAGTTACTGGCACCTCTCTTGCCATGCCAGTCCCTCCCGTTGCTGATGTCTGTGGCATCTTCTACCCTTGCTCACACTTAAGACTTGCAGTAGTCACATGTGGGATAGAGAGGCTACACACAAAAAAAGTACTTAATAAAATTATTTAATAATAAGATCAGAGAGATTGTGACCATCAGGCAGAGGGTTTGGTCAGAGAAGTGAACTGACCAACAGCCTCCTTGCATGTGACTGGTCCCCATACACCCTCTCCTCTCCAGTTTTCCATACTTATTCTTCCCTGATCTGCCCTGCTGCTTGCCTTCTCCTCCCTTTGCCCCTTTCCC